GCTCGCTCCGTGATCGGGAGGTCGTGAGTTCGAATATCGGCTGCGACTGACCTAAGTCGAAAAAAAAATCGGTAGCAACTGTTCCTTCGCCATGCGCTCGGCACTTTGAAGTGAAAGTTGCGGGTCCTTCGGATGAGACCTTAAAGACCGAGGCCCCGTGTCAGGCAGGCGTTGGCACGTTAAAGATCCCTCACTGCCCAATGGCCCTGAGTGCCGAGTAAAGGTCAAAATTTGAAGCCCTTCACCGGTATATGGTGACGTCTCTATATGAGTGAAAAATTCTCGAATGGGACGTAAAGCAACATACAATCAATCAATCAATCTCCTCTGCTCTTGGGTATTTAGCAAATAAACTAAGTACATAGTAATGATGAGGAAGAGTGCCTCTTCCAAAATTGTGAATTTCATGGCCCCTAGGGCATGAGTTCTGGTGTTAGGGCGGGGTTCTATTGATTATATAGTGAAAATGCATTAATTCTTTGAAAACTTCTCCTCTGCTCCTTGGTATTAAGCCAATAAATTAAGTACATAGTTATAATGAGGAAGAGTGCCTCTTCCAATATTGTGAATTTCATGGCCCTGGGTCAGGGGTTCGGGGGGGGGGGGGGTTATTTATTATATACTGAAAATGAATATATGCTTTGAAAATCTTAGCCTCTGCCCCTTGGTATTAAGCAAACAAACTAAATACATAGTTCTGATGAGAAAGGATGCCTAGTCCAAAATTGTGAATTTCATGGCCCCAGGGTCAGGGGTTCTTGTGCTTGGGTGGGACTCTATTGATTAATTAGCAAAAATGCATTAATACTTTGAATATTTTCTCCTCTGCCGCTGAGTACTAAGCAAACAAACTAATTGCAATAATATCAATGTAAATGTATTAAATAAAATTATAGGTTAATGTGGCTTTTCTTTGCTCCTGGGTATCTAAGTGGCAAACTGAGTACACAGTTGTAATGAGTGAAGCAAATGAGAGTTCCTCCCCTTTGCTATATGTTGTTAATCAGGAAATCCTAGTATTTAATTTAATTACATCTTACAGGTTATTTGATCGAATGAGAATGCAAGAAAGAATGTTATATATATATATATATATATATATATATATATATATATATATATATATATATATATATATATATATATATATATATATATATATATATATAGAAACAAAATAAAAATGAATGTTTAAATGAGCAAAGCATTCTCAAAGTCAGATTCTTGCCTGGAAAGCAATATAAAAGATTGACATAAAGATTATTTATATATTTAGCAAAAGTTGTAATTGTACATAGTATGTTTATGTGATGTTCTGTTTGACAGTAGACGAGTTATTGTCACTGGTAGAGTCATCGCTGACAAGAGACTGGACGAAGTTGTTTTATACTTTATCAAAGTGAATAAAAAATCACAGAGAGTCAGGGTGACTTATTATAATTTATGACAAGTGGCAAATAGCCGTGTTGTATATCCAAGTCTGTGTGTACTGAATAGTAGCACTAGGCAAGTGACAAAAACATATCTGTATATATTGAATACCTTACACAATAGGCAAGTGTCCATTGTATTTGTATATTCTGCATTCATTATCATCCCTGTAAGACTTGGGAAAACCAAGTATGATCCTAAGAAAATCACTCGGGTATAACACGTTACAATAAGCAAGGGTATTTTTACCAGATTTTTTAAATTCTTGGGCAACATTGTTTCGTCTATCAGTTAATTTTGTTTTATACTTCTATGAATCCTTACAGTGTTATATTATACTCAGATGACCGTTAAGGTCCTTGGGTCTCTTGTTTTTAAATACAATAACTCTTAATTGATGAGATTTGTTTAATACTGTTATCTAGCTACAGTACAAATGTCCCCCTCCCCCACGGCGTTCTTACGGGCCTGATAATCCAACACTACAAAGAATCCTTATATTGAAACATATTCCCTCTGGACTCATATGAGAGCCATGAGGCAGCCCCTGAACCCTGCCTAACCTCTTATATATCACACCTGGGCTGGATGTGTCACCCACTGAGATTGTATATAGTTACATATATTAGTTATATTTTACGTAACATGTTTATGAATAAGAGTTGTGATATCGTGATTCTTTCTTCAACACGTGTTTTTGTTAATTATTTTTAATTTTTCAGTCAAAACTTCCTGCTGTGGTTTGTGAATGTAAACAAACATTATGCCAAAGAAAAAATTTCTCAACCCTCCTCTTTCAAATATTTTCTGAATCCGCGCCTGAGTCTTTTATTGAATTCAAAATACAATGTATCTGTACCAGTGATTTATCAGTATTAAGCTTCACATCACCAAAACAAACTTGTCTGTGTTCATGTCGACCACGAAGTCCCTAACACTTAGTGAAATACTGCCTCAGTGAAATCACTCGGAGCTCCTCGGGTGGCTCGTACCTTGCACACTAATGTTTGTATGGAGCGTAGCGGAGTCAGCCGAGGATTGCCGATTGTAGTGAAATTGCAGGATCTTCCAGCTGCCCCATCTCCCACATCATATTTTCTTTTATTTTGTGATACAGCACATGAAACACTTGACATTTGTCCTTTTCCTGCTTTTCTTAAAAAATTTTTTTTTTTATATCTTTGGTTCGATTTGAGAGGGAAAATTCTCCGTCCCTGACACTCTAGTTCTTATCGTTATACCTTTTTACAGACTTGCGTGGGGATCCTGAATCGTAATCATTTCCTTTTTGCGTATATATATATAAAACGTAGACAATAAATTACATTATTCCTTTAGTGGAGAATATTTTCAGTTAGTCAATTTCCCACACTCTCATCAATACTCAATGAAATTTTTTCTGTTCTTTTTGTTTGTTTCATTGTGTTCTCTTTTCTTGTTTGGTTCTTCTATTAATCAGTGAATTCTTTTCTCTGGATTCCCAACTGATGATAAGTCAAATTCAAGAATTTGCTATTTCTTGTGACGAAAGAATATTAAGCATTCCTTGAACAGCTTCATTTTTGTCGAAAAGACTATTATCCTTAATTCAAAATGTTTGCGGAATGGTCATATTCAAAATGTTTTCGAGCAAACTCGATAGCGAAAACAAAATGCAAACTCAGCATTCAATAAATCATCAAGATACTTAACTCTTAAAATCCTCTGGATTTAAATGGCTTCTTTTCATTAAACGACTATGAAAAATTATTCATTGTTGATAATTATCATATGTGAATATATAGATATTCTCCACTAAAGGAATAATTTAAAAAAAATAATGCAGCTGCTTTCCTCGGTACAATATTTATAAGAAAATTTTAAGTCAAAAAAGATGTTGACAATCTTTTTAAACAAGAACCTTTGGATATTTTTCTATGTCCTCATATAAGATGAAACTTCAAAAGAGCTTCACAAAAAAAAATGTTAAGGTCAGACACAAGTGAAATATTTGAATAATGTTTCTGGACTGGAGTTGAGATAAAGCTATACGTAGTCCCCCGTGCACTCTATTATTACGCTGCTTTCTGGTCTTTTTTTTTTCTTTTTTTTTCATTTGTTTCTTTTTTTTAAAGTTATTTGTCGGTTTTTTTTTTCCAGATTTGTTTTACAGTCTCTTCTTATTACGCTCCAAGTACGATGCAGATTTTTGACGACCAGGTTTTTTGACTTCCATTATGCTATCTGTTTACAAACTTTAAGCCCTTGCACAATATTTGCATTCTCTTTATTATTTGTGTGGCCCAATAAAACTACCTTTTTTTCATAAAATTGAATGATTATTTTCATATCTTCTTTTTATAAAACCTACTCTGAAGAAAATTTTTACGAAAGTGGAAATTTTCAACGAAGAATTATTTTTCGCAATAAATAAATAAATAGATTATTTTAAAAAATAATTTTTTTTTACCATATCAATCAGACCGAGCGATTTTAAATGCTTGGAAAACCAAAGTTATATAAAAGTTTACTTCTCCACAGATAATACATGTAAAAACATGATAAAAAGGAGCACAATAGTGTCCATCATAATCTCAACAAATTGTTTGAAGGCCCGGTCTCTAGATTATTTAAATGTTTTTAATGAGGAACTCCTTTTAATATAGTTTAGTTTAAGAAGAATTTTATTCACGATATACATAGAAGTATATAGAATGAACATGGATTGAACAGCAGGCAAAATTGGCCTATATTAGTTCTCTCCATTAGAGATCAAAGTACAAATCATGAAATGTTACAATAGTATATATCTCAACTTATACAAAGACATGTATTTTAAACTAATTTCATGGCCGTAGGAACTTTTAATATCAACCCAAGAGTAGCTTTGTGTAGAATGAAAGTTATTTTTTACAAAGTAATTTTGAAGATGTCCAATCACAAGATATGAAAATTTCCCAGTTCCATTAAAATAAACCAGTTGTCTTTGATATCAAATAGCTTAATTTTTTTTTATCTTGAGGAATGTTTGTATGAAGCGTAGAAAAGTCATACGTTTTGATGTTACTGACTTTTGAAAAAAATTGTGATTTAAATTTTCTAAAGTTCTTTGGAGTTTCTAAGAATCTACATTTGGTTTACACCAGTTCTCGAATATGCTGTAGCACAGTACATTTGAATTTTCTCCTTTACAGCAGTAATAATTATTTGAGGAGTAATAATAGGGGTTTGGTACACCAGTTGCTGGATTTTTTGTAAAGCTTAGGAATCCAGTGTAGGTAGAGTAGCTCAAACTCACTTTCGTTGACTAGTAAAGATTGAAATGTCGTTTTGAAGAATTTCATCCTAGGAATGTGAACTATAAGTAAGATTTTCAGTCATTTTTATGACCCTACACTTCCATTTTCATTGTTTGAGTTAGATATTCTTTTGCCTGGTGAAACCACACTTTTGTTTTAAGATATTTCCTTAGCTAAATTGTTCAATTACATAAAATAAAATACATTTACATTGAATTCTATGAAAATGTATTTGAAGAAGTTATTATGTTTTTATCAAAAAATACCTATATGTATTTGAAATGAGCTTTACTTGTTTTTAATCAGTATATTAATCTGTTTAATTAAACATAATAGAATAAATGGTCAAATTTTACTTTAATAGAGACATTTTAAGAATTACAAGTTCGTAAGAAGTTTAAAGATATAAAGTGAGAGTAACAGCATTGTCAATTTTAATGTTCGCTTTCGGAATAAGTTTTCTCTTCCGATTTCGTTGCATGACATTACTATCCTTCTTCTGCCATCAAATCCCTCACCCTGTAGGCGGCAGTCTGGAGCCTACAACACAAATAAGGAAGTTATTCCAAGTCTTGCTCTTTTATTTTTATTCTCAGTCCACAAAAATGGTATAAGAAAAAATCCTATTTTTCTTTTGATTCCCTTCCAACAATTATGTTAACAAAATATAAAGTAAGATTTTAAAAAAAGTGAATGATTTTAAAGAAAATTTGATAAATAATGCTTGATTCTACAAATCGGGCAAACAAAAATTACAAAATAAAATAGTAAATAACAAAAACAAAAGAACAAACAAAAAGAAATGGGAAAAACGCAAATGAAGATGAGTAAAAAAGAAATGAACCAGGAAAAGAGAAGTATATTCTGTAATGGTCACTTCCGAAAACTATGATATTTCTTGCACACTTAAGTTATAGAACACAGCAATTTTCTCTCACAGAAAAATATCAGATTTTTTTTTTGTAAACTTCAGTTACAAAACACAACATCGTTTTCTTTGTTTATGACAGTCTTTTGTACAATCAATGGGAAAAAAACCTCTTTGTGCTTGATTTTTATTGATTATAGATTCATTCTTCGAGATATAAACTTTTTAAAGTTCAAAACCCGAATTTAAAATGTACATTGAAGCATTACAGAGTATGCAAAGTATATCTCAGCAGACTGAAATCTTACAAATAGGAAATAAGTTCGAAAATGAAAAGCACTCATTCCTACGAGCAACTTGGAAATGGCATTATCATCCAGATCTAGACAAACAGATTTTTTTTTCAACTTAGATTATGACCTTTTTAAGCGCTGGCTATGCAAACACTTTCGATAAAACCAGTATCACGATTTACTAATCAAGTGTAAAAATTATACACGATGTATAAAAATTCCATATCAAAGATTGATATTTTTGGCATTAAAAAAATCTCAATGCTCACGATTTCTGTAACTCGTTTTTTTTCCAAAGAAAATACTGCACACTCATTGTATATATTTACGTGGATCTAAAGTCATAAGAATGCTGTCAAGCGAAAAAAAAATATAATGCCATATTTACGATTTATATCAGGATTTTAACTGATAAACAAAGGATACGTACACCTTATACATGTTATGGAGAGATTGTATAATACAGTATATATCTATATCTATATCTATATATATATATATACACTGTATTAGATATGAAAGTGAAAAACATGCTTAAAAAAAGAGTTGACTGTTGTTTTCGTTAGCCAATCAATTCTCAAATCAAGAATGATGCTTGTAAATGCTTAAGCATTTCGTGTTTTCGCTTTCAACTATGTAGTTTGGTTTTTTTTTTAAATAATATCTTATGACAACAAAATCAACCGATCTCTGTTTTCTTTTTACAATTTGCTCTTTCAAGGACGATTCCATTCAATTCAATTTCTATTGATCGAGTAAGCAATACAAGTTGTATCAGAAAAATGTCCAATTTACATGTTGCTAACTGAAACAAGTACAAACATGAGTTATCATATTGATCGAATTTGAATACAAATTTCAGGACACATATGTAAACAGTATAATATTTACTAAACCTGCATCACTTGATTATTTGAAATAATTTCATATTCTTTACAATTTGAAAATGATAACATTTGTGTGTAAAATGCGCTCTACTTAATAGCACGATAAATCTGAGTAAATTTGAGAAAGAAAATGTCCTTAAAAAATAAATGTTTTTTTGGTGGGATGTGTGCAATTAAGTTCATTTTGTAGTTGGATATAAAATTTAGTATACTTCATAGTTGGATATAAAATTAAATTCCTTTTGTAGTTGGATATAATAAATTTTAGTTCACTTTGTAGTTGGATATAAACTAGTGTTCACTTTGTAGTTGGATATAAAATTCTGTTCACTTTGTAGTTGTAGTTGGATATGGAATTTATTTCACGAGTGAAAATAGGAATAAGAACCCTGTCATTAAATTTCCTTTTATTTGATTCATGAAACGTCATCCAATAATCATCCAATATCCATGTGTACGAAACGCACGAGTTCACAAAATTTTCTCGCTAGAACATTGTCATCTGAAAATGTCAATTAAAGCAAATGCAATTTCAATTAATAAGTCAGCATTGTTTTTTATTTCAAAAACTTAAACATTAGTGTAATTTTTTATTCAATTCAATGTGAATTTTTTATTCTTCAAAATGTTGATGATTTGTTTTGTTTTTGTTCTTTTTTTTTGTTTGTTTGTTTTGTTTTGTTTTTTTTTTAAATTCAAACAGAAGTATATAATTTGTAAAGGATGCTAGATAATTTTAGAAATTATAGATAGTCATATTTTTTTTTACTCATTATTTGTGAGTTCTGATATAATGACAAAAAAAAAAAAACTATTATTGAGGTCGTATAGGTCTTTACAGTTTACTTTCAATGTAAATTAGCTATTTAACATGAAATGTTTGTGTTTGTTATATTTATATAGAACGTCCACCACTGATTAGAAGGACTTTTATTCTATATCTTTAATAAGTTAACGTTGTCCTGTTTATTTTCAACTCGCTTTGGTTTGGATCTAATTTAGTCAAATATCGGTATTTTAATTCTATGCATGAAAAATAATAACAAGTGAAATTGGAAGCTTTGTTAAGATGTTCTCCACTTTTCACAAAATTCATTCAATCCGATACAGTTAAAGTAAATTAAAAATATTAAATTAAGACAAAACGGGAGTGGGTGGGGTGGCCTTTTCGATCTTGCCACAGGGGGAAAATTTCTGTGGATTTGACTGAACTCAATCACAGCGCAATTAACGCTAAGCTTTATATTACCCATTAGAGTGGTGCAAGGCAAATTATGTCAGCAGTTTTGAGGAAAGGATCCAAAACATTTCCAGATTAAAATTAAAACTGGAAACGTATATCTCAAGAGAACAATGAGTCTTTTTAACTTTTTAGAGGAGGGGGAAGGAGGCAATAATTTCAATATGCTACATGCTCAATTATAATGACGAATACACAAAGTAAAATAAAAAAGAAATAGATTGTTCGAAACTTTAACCGTAATTTGATGCTAGAAAGCAAATGTAAGTTACAGATTACTAATTTACTCTATTTCATTGACCATGCAAGTAATGTAGTGCCTGTATAAAAATATAGTTTTCTCACAAAAATGTATACGGGGAGGAGTGGGCTGATTTTAAACATAGATTGAAAGGAGAGGGTCTAGAAAAATATACATCTAATTTAAAATTATGAGAAATTTTGCCTTTAAATGCCTAGTAGGAAGGGTGTAAAGATACCATTTTTGTCCTCTTCTCAAGGTAAGTGAAATATGCAGTGTAGGTGCCTTAGTAAGACTTGCGGACTACGGATTCTTGTTATATTTAAAAATATTTTGGCTTTGAATCAGAAATCGCAATTTCCAAGATTAATTTATCCGCATTGAAGGGAATGAATGCCATAAATAACATCCAAATAAAATCTCTGTAAAAGGTTTATTTTCTATTAGATCCTCTACTTGAAGCTTCTGCCATCAATTGTCTCAAATCACCCTTCGTTGATTAGCGTTAATAGCACTCTCATTGAGTTCACCCCAAGCTAAGAAAGAAATTCTTGGGACATAAGTTTGAGGCTCGTTGGGACTGTAAACTGTCTACTCGGTATTTTTTTCATACATTATTATTATAATTATTATTATAATATATATATATATATATATATATATATATATATATATATATATATATATATATATATAGAGAGAGAGAGAGAGAGAGAGAGAGAGAGAGAGAGAGAGAGAGAGAGAGTATGGTGGCATATTTCTGCCCCCCCCCCTCCTACATGCAAGATAAATTATGTTAACATGCAACATAATTATGTAGACATGCGACTTATTTATGTCAACATGCAAAATAATTATGTTACATGCAAGTTACCAATTTCTTTAGAGAATCTAATTTTAAAGAGTCCGTGACGGAAAAAGGGGAAAATTGACAAAAGTAGAATTTTTCATGACACATGCAAATTTTGTTCAGTTCTTGAAGGTATTAGCTTTCAGAAAATTACAGGTTTCAGAACCTAAAAAATCTACTTTTATGGAGAAAAATAAAAGTAAAAATAATTTTTGTTTGTCCCAACACAAAAATATTGCTTCACCTCTTCCTCTTTATTGTACGCATGCGCAGAAAAGTTGAAGAATTTACCGTGGTGTCAATTCCATAGATATAAATGTCGGGTGACCGAGGATTTTGATACAATCTTCAATAAAGATGATCAGAACTTATTCTTCACTTTTTCTTGCTCCAATTCAATGCATGTTGTTTACAAGTTTCATTGCTAAGAATAAACGTCGCGTGACCTTGACATTGTTGACATTGACGATAACAATTAAGCCAAAGATACAACCTTTGCTTTTCCGGCACTTACATTCTGCAGTTCTTTTCTTGCTTTACAGTGCAGCTGATTAGTCGAAACTTCGCTTTATTCATATTTCACAAAGATCTTTTGTTTCATGATACAATTATCTTCAAAGAAACACACGATTTTAACTCATTATGTAACTTTAATATTGGTAAACTTACTTCCTAACGCCATCATATGACATCATACAAGCAAGATACAGCAGGATTATGATGACATGCGACTTATTCATGTTAACATGCTAGATAATTATGTAGACATACAACTTATTAATGTCAACATGCAAGATAATTATGTACACATGCAACTTATTTATGTCAACATGCAAGATAATTATGTAAACATGCAACTTATTAATGTCAACCTGCAACTTATTTATATCAACATTCGAGATAATTATGTCAACATGCGAGATATGTATGATAACATGTAACTTATTATCTTGCATGTTAAAATATAACTCGCATGTTGATATAAATAAGTCGCATATTGACATTAAAAAGTTGCATTTTGACATAAATTAGTCGCATGTTAACATATATAAGTTGCATGTTAACATAATTATCTTGCATGTTGACATAAATAAGTCGCATGTCTACATAATTATGTTGCATGCTATCATATATAAGTCACATGTTGACATAAATATCTTG